ACATGGAAGACCTGGTTTGATTACAAGTCAGAGACAGATGAACCAGATCATGCTAATTGTCCATCTATTGATCTGAAGAGCACATATTTGAATCTTTACTAAGATTGTCAAAACAGCTATAGTCAATTGGGAATGAACATTGACATATAGACCGTCACAAAATATTAGAAAAAAAATAAAATCCTATGGTGGATTGAAATGGAAGGCATTCATCTAAAATAAAATCCTCTGGTGGATTGAAATGGAAGGCATTCATCCATGCTGTCTGCATGTAATGACTTACTGAGACATGAGCGTTTGGCAGCTGCACTGGCTCCTCCAGAACACAGGTTTCCTCCTCTGTGCACCAGCTCCAGCTCCAGGTTAGTTCTGAAAAAAAAAAAAACCCACATCATTTTTGTTCATGAAATCACTGCTGTCCTTTAGCTGCCTGATTTATACATATATTTCACATCATTGTTCAAAGAAGAAAAGAAAAAAATGTGAGAAAAAACCTGTTTTGATTTTGTCTGTAGATCACTTGAAAGTACATGTACTGTTTGACATAACTTGTAAATATACCAATAGAACGGTGCTTCTTAAAAGGGGTCACCATAATGAAATCCCAATAATTTCACAGATATGAAACTATATATATACAACCAAAACACATTACATATGCTATAGTAATGTCACATCCTACACAGTTAAGGCAAATATTAAGACTGCTACTGAGGCTTTATTGGAGAGTATTGCAGAAATGTCATGTATTTTAAATGCACCACCTTTTCAAAACCAGCTAAAATAATAGAGAACAGAGGATAGCAGTGCTAATGGTTGAAGGACATTGTATTCATCAAGCTGTTGGTTCTGTTGTCAACCTCTTTCACTGGTCTGTCTCTTCAAATCATTTGTACTTAATGCACCTGTTCTGTGGCTGGTTCATAGACAAGACTGCTGTCTAAGGCTGATTTTGCTCATCCTCCTCCATTAGCATAATAGGCCGTTCTACACATAATTATTCCTGTATGCATTTCCCATTCATGACCTACAGTAAAACACATCCTGCTGCTGAATTTTCACTGCACAACACCAACAATGGTGAAAAACAGGCAAAACCTTGAACAAAGAACATTGATGGTGACAACAGATAGGAATTACTAATATAAGACTGATCTTAGCCTGCTTCTATTCTGCCACTGGTTATTTCTTTCTATGGGCAGGAAAAAGGTGGGGGCAAATCCTTGGGTTTCCTGGGAGAAAAAAAAAAGCAATTTCACATAGATAATGCAGCCACGGTGAAGCTCCATCTGGCTTTTGCTGATAAGAGCGCCCTGTGACAGAGGAATTTTCTACCCCTCAGGCAATTTGCGTTGCTCATTGAACTTCAGAGAGCCAACAGGCAGCCATACATACTCAGGGAGGGTCTCTGTGGAGGGCTACGGAAATCACAGCATTAGATGCAAAAACTCTTTTTGGTTGCGCTCACTTGAGAGATCAGCATTATGGAATGGAACTGGTTTTGGAGACACCATGAACAACCGAGGGCCAAACGTTTTTCATAGAGTTGTTGGTGGGACCAGTCCATTAAGGAGACAGAGTAACACTCAAAAAGAAATGTATATTTCTGACTTTTTTGCCAAGTTTAAGCCAAGATCTCGAAAGACTAATGAAGAACCACTGAACAAACAAACCTCTGAAAGTCGACTGCTTGGAGGAGAAGATGTAACAAATACATGGTTAAGACTAAAACCACGAGACACAGTCTCAATGCAACTTAACAGCTGCACAAAGTGGTAAAGTTGCAGCATTCTGTTCCTGAAGTACTTCTAGGAACAAAAAAGCTATTTATTACAAAACATGGAGAAAACAAATCAAATCCCTTCACAGCTCTATGAACAGCCCAGGAAATAAAAAAAATCCATACACTCAGCAAGTGCAGTATTAAATTATATCTGGTAAAAGTAAAATAGAAAGTTGCATAGCAAGAGTCTGACACTGCAGGGAGGACAGACCTGTGTCTACACACACGACGTTCCCAGTTTGACAACAAGTGAGGAGGCTAACAGCAAGAGTCCAATCCAAGAGGAAGTTGGCGTTTGCTCCACTGGTCTGCACAGCGGGCAGTGTAGTGTGGATGTGACGGGTGTGAAAATGCATGAGGCGGTGGAGATGGAGGACCTCCAAGGTCAAGTGCTGCAGACTTGGAGGTCAGTAAACACACAGCGCCTTTGAGATCATTGCTCAAATCTGACAGAAGCAAAAACAAACTCAGTGCAGAAAACAGTTCAGGATCCCAGAAAAAAAAGAACATGGTCAAATTGAAAGAGTAATGAAAGTGATCATTTTCTTTAATGTACGATTCTATTTTTTTTTTTTTAAAAAGCACTGAATCCAAACCATGTTTTCTCCAGCTCTGTTTTTGAACTTCTCTTATATCCTGAGACTCTTCAAGGGATATAAAATTCCTGC